GGGAGGGGTCCAAGGACTGGGGCAGGGTTGTGTGTGAGAGGGGGCAAAGGGAGCTGAGGGAGACTCCCCCTACACATACATCTAGAGACACAGGTGGAGAGACAAAAGGGAAGGGAAGCAGAATAAACCTCCTCTGAGACAAACAAGCACCTCACCAAAGCGGCAGAGACATCATAACATGCTGAGAGATAGGAAGACACCTGGGGACAGACGCACAGCTGGAGAGAGAAACAGCAAATTCTACGGAGCACCCGGGGACCCGCCCCCTTGGAGCACTGGTATCTGTAGACTCCCCCGCCCCCCCCAAACATGAACACAAGACCTTTAGCCTCCACACGTGTAGTGACTTGTGTGCCTTTGGAGCTGCTTGAAAGTGCTGGTGACTTTCCTCCCATGCCATCCTGTTTGCTTTCTGGGTACAAGTACACAAACACTCTCCTAGGGTAGCAATTACAACAAAACGAATAGAAAGGCAGGAAGACATTCGTTCGTTCGTTCGTTCATTCACTCAACGTCATATTAAGTGTCTACTTTGTTCCAAGTACTGTTTGGGATACTGGGAGTATATATGGTAAATAAATCCCTGCTTTCATGAAGTCCGGATTTTGGCGGGGAACAACGTAATAAAATTTCTGGTGGTGATAAATGATGTAAACAAAACAGGATGAAGAGGGTGGAGGGTAACCAGATGTTTTAGATCAGGAGGTCAGGAAGGTTTCGCTGAAGAGGTGACATTTAGAAAAATGTTTTTATTGATTTTTACAGAGAGAGGAAGGGAGAGGGATAGAGAGATAGAACCATCGAGGAGAGAGAAACATCCTCAATCGGCTGCCTCCGGCATGCACCCCTACTGGGGATTGAGCCCGCAACAGGGAATCGAACTGGCTGGCAGCTTGTACTCTGGCTGGGAATCGAACTAATGACCTCTTGGTTCCTGGTCAATGATCAACCACTGAGCCATACCGGCTAGGCTGAAGAGCTGACATTTCATGAGGACCATGTATAACGTGGAGTCAGGCAGGCAGTATGAGGAATGTCATACCCAACAGAGGGACCAGCAAGTGCAAAGCACAGAGGTAAACTCTAGATGCGTTTGGAAATAGGGAGGATGACATCACAACTTCACACGTATTCCAGATGGGTCTTGTCCCTCCCCAGCCTCCGCCTGTAGGTCCTTTAGGGTCTAGAATCCACATTTAAGAAGTTGCTCTAACTCAGTCTTCTATTCCCCCTCCCCCTTTTGTTTCTTCTGTGTATGTGAGTTGCATTTTCTTCAACTAAATTTTAAGCTCTGGGAGGGCAAGGATGGTGCTCTGAGCTTCTTGGAAGCTGTGGTATGGCTGGTGGTACAGAAGGTTGCAGTATGTGTGTTGAATGTGGTTTATGTTGGGGTTTTGTGTTTTTAAAAAATATTTTTTTTATTGATTTCAGAGAGGAAGGGAGAGGGAGAGATAGAAAACATCAGTGATGAGAGAGAATCATTGATTGGCTGCCTCCTGCACGCCCCTCACTGG